AATAACTATATTATATATATATATATATATATGGTTTGGTGACAATCAATTTGGCAGTTAATTAATGAGTTATGTCTATACTTGAGCAGACACTCACACACGTTTACCTAGTAATGTTTTATATAGGTATATGTATCCATCCTAAGTCGTGTATCTCAACAAAGCAAACAGAATACTTAAAGTTTAAACATTGTGGCCTAATTTATTAATCTGCTACCTGGCTCATTTTTCAAGTAATATAATGTCAAGTTCGTTATTCTACAGGTGTTGCTCGAGCACACATATATTTCAAGGCCACAGATTGAAACCTTCCGAATGACTGACGGCCAAGGCGAAGGGCTACTTATCTGACAACGCTTCCACTCTTCCGCTTATAACAGTCCTCTAGCAACTGCTCTACTTTTACTTCAAGCTGTTGCTATTCGATCATAACGCTTAACAGTGCCTTGAATCTTTAAAATATATATTTTAGTAAATGAAAAAGTTTATAAAACTTTTATATAGTGTTGTGTTAAAATAATCGAACAGCTGACTCTACCAGTAGTACCATAACTTAAAAGTTTCTATAAATATTAGGATTAGTAATACTTGTAATTGTATAACTTATTATCTTACATAGATTACTAGTACTACTACTAATTAATACTTACCTGAACGCTAAACTCATAGTCTCGAACAATTTTGTTAGGGAGACGTCTATAGATATTGAATGTGAACTTCGTGGCCCATATGTATATGTTTTCCATGTTTCTTTACAACCTTTGTCAAAGTCAAAATCACGAACTTCATTTGGCAGAGGAACGTTATCTTGATCACCGTCCGATTCGTGGGCCGTTAAAATCGAGGCGTCATCGTCAACATGAACCCCAGAATCGTCAATCTCTGACACCATGAAATGTCCACTGTGTATAGTTTCTTTTTCCATTTTTCTCAACACTCAAATTCTCTTCTCTTGTGGGGCTGAAGTCATTTCTAAAACAGTATTATCCAACACCTACCTAACAAAGCAAAATACAGCCAGAGAAGTAAAACATTTCCAATGTCTCATGCGTCCAAGTTACAGTCACGATAGTACGTAGAACACTCCTCCACAGCTGAATCGCCATATTGGTTGAAAACTAAGGGGTGGAGTGATGACATCAACAGATGAGTGGCGTTTCTGCGTCGTGGCAGAATTTAAGTTCGCATGCGTGACATTGTTAGGATAATCGATGCTATTTAAAAATTTATACATTGAAATGGAATTCAGTATAAAAGTACTTATATCACTAATAAGATAACATTTATCTCCTTTTGTAAATTATGGGAGGAAAAAAAAGCATTTTAGATATATATCCTGACTACTACGCTAGCTGGATTACTCATGATGTCGAGTTTGACTTTCATTTATAGCTGGAAAATTCAATTAACCCATATTCTAAACCTATAACGTACCACGTTTTCACAAACTGGTAGTGATGATGTTGCGTTGAAGCTGCAAGATGTACAAAAGACACATAGTATTATTATTATCATTATCTTGTGGAAAGAATTGTTGACTTAAATATAATTTTAAATGTAACGTATATCACATTTTCACAAAATCCAAGAGCCCGAACGTTTGCCACAAGTAGATTTTCATTCTTCAATGACAAATTGTGATTTAAAATATAAAAAAATAGTTGACTGAAAATATAATATGAAATAATGATTATAATTCGATAATAACAAATTAACTACAGATATTAAGTTTCAAGTAAATTTGTTTCTATAATATACTTTGTAAGTCTTATAAGTTTAGCTGGAAATATTATTGAGGATCATAAAGCGAATTTGAAACTCATAGTGATGAGATTGCATAGAATTTGAAAGTTTGGTTAAGCACCCTTGCCATAATTTGAATCATACATTTATAATCCTAATAATATTCCATTATTTTTATCTGCTTAGGAGCTTTATATTAGGCCTAAATTTACACAATACCAAATGTTGCTAATTAATCTTTATAAACGTAATTATAATTCAGATTATTGAAGTAGCTCAAGTGCACAAAACTTACTCTTAATACTTTAACCAAATTAACTACGACAAGCAAAATGTTAGGAGGGTTTTCCTTTAAAGTCAGAGAATGCTGATGGTAAAGTATTGTTGTAAGCTATATTTTTAACATTTTTGTTTAGGTTTACACTGGCTAGAAGGGGCTTGTCATGACGTTATGGTGACGAAACATTCAGAAATTTCATGAAAGGTAAGTACACTGTATGATGTAGTAACTTGCCATATTATTTATAAAGTGAATACAATATAAAAATACTTAATGAGTTATTTAGTTCAGTTAGTTAGTGAGTTAGACAGGGAGAGTCCATTTGTCTGTGGTTCAGCTAGTCAGTGAGTTAATAATCATTTTTGTTATTGATCATCTAGTGAGAAAATTCTACACATAAATATATAAGTAAGTTAGGTGTACATTAGTTTGGAGTTTATATTGAAATGCTTTGTTGTAAGTTATATCTTTAATGTTTTAATTTACTTTTTTGCTAGAGTTCGTGAATGTTAATGAACAAGAGGCTTTGTAAAATATCTGGAAACCAGGATACATTATACGTAGGAAAATCAGTGAAGCATTGAGTCAGTTACAGTTCATTAAGCCGTTGAGAAGTTAGTGATATATTCAGATCAGTGTTAGACACCGCACATTTTCAGTTACTTGATTGGTTAACCATGAAACTGTACAAATAAGTTTATTTGGACGTTAGTAGTAGCATCATTAGAGAGTAAATTTCTGTTTGAAGTGAAAATATTATTTGTGAACACAACCGTGGAGAAATAATAGTAGGCTACAGAAAACGTTAAGTAAGAAATAAATTAATTTGTTATCATTACACAGACTGGACTTCGCATTATTCTCAACCAAATAGTTTATAAGAGTCTGTCCAATGAAAGAACTATGTTACAACACTGGATTCAGAGATGGAATTATTGGTGGAAATAAAATAGAGTACTGAGTAAACTTCAACTTTCAAGATAACTCATAAAGCAATATTGGAGATTTATTGAAGTTAATGAAACAGTTAAACGAAAAGCATTAAGAGGTAGAAATTAGAGGTATTAGATAG